CCCCATTGAAGACATAGAATATCTGGAATTAAAACTATTTCTATTCAAAAGTCATATACCGATATTTACTCAAAGTTTGTTATCAAACTGTTGTTATCAAAAGATTAACTTTAATAAAAATTAATCCCTTAAACTCTTTAAATTGTTTAAATGCGAACGTTTTTCAGGGCTCTACCCCTCCCTTCCCCATCGTTTGCAAAAGTTTACATTGGCCGACCCCCCCCCTCCCCCAAGTGCGAATGTAATTTGTGAACCTAAATTTGTGCCTAAGTTTGGTAGCTTTTTAGTGCAACTAGGGCAATGCTTAACAAATTGTCCTTATTTTTAAGTGTTTTGTTTTTATATCATTGTGTGAGTTAATTATAAAATTAGAAATAATGACACTTTCTTAAATAAAAATCATAAATATATTTGTAAAGACATTTTTATAAATTTATAAATTTATAATTTTTATAAATTTATAGTTTTTCCTAATTTAATAAAATGGTTATAAAAAACATTATTTTATTATTATTTTTTATAATAACTATTGAATACACAGTTTGTGTTGAAGTGAACACAACCTCTGGTGTAGTGAAAGGTCTGACTATCGATGTGTTGAACACAAGTGTTGACCAGTTTTTGGCCATACCTTATGCCGAACCCCCGGTAGGGGTACTCAGGTTTGCCAAACCTAACGCCATTAAAACTCAAAAAGTATGTTNATCGATGTGTTGAACACAAGTGTTGACCAGTTTTTGGCCATACCTTATGCCGAACCCCCGGTAGGGGTACTCAGGTTTGCCAAACCTAACGCCATTAAAACTCAAAAAGTATGTTTGCTTTAAATGTTTACTATGTGTTAATATTTAATATACCAATATTAATTATATTTAATATGAATCAGTATATCGATGGGACTAAACATGGTAAATCATGTGTACAAAAGTTTGTAGCTGAGCTTGATGACTTTGATCCGGTGAGAAATATCACCCAAAGCGAGGACTGTCTGGTGTTAAACGTATGGACCCCTACTGTCCGCACCGGTGACCGACAGAAAGCGGCCCTAAAACCGGTCATGTTTTGGATGCACGGCGGAGCACTTATAACTGGCTCATCATTTCAATGGCAATACAACGGCACAGCACTGGCCACCAATGATGTGGTCATTGTGTCCGTCAACTATAGGTTAGGACCGTTTGGTTTCCTATACGGGGATCGGGAGGACGCGCCCGGAAATATCGGACTCTATGACATGTTGTTTGCATTAAACTGGGTATTTATTCATAGATGATTTAATTGCAATTTAATTCATTGTAATGCAATAAATTTAATGACATAATAATAGGTTAGAGAAAACGTTCACTCATTTGGCGGAGATAGGGATCAGATCACTATATTTGGTGAGAGCGCCGGCACGTGGGCCGGGGCGTCAACCCTCATACTCTCCCCGCTATCCAAAGGCCTATTCAAGAGGGCTATTATGGAGAGCGGCGCCCATTATTACAATAGTAGAGATCCAATGAGCAAAGCCGAGGCCTTGACTTTCGCCAAACAATTAGCCAAAAGCATGAACTGTACGGACGGACAGAAATGGTTGGACTGTTTACGTGGTATCGACGCCCAGGCGTTGATCAAAGGGTACGACACAGTCGTTCAGGTATTCCCACTATTGGACACTGAATTACTACCACTGCCCGCTCAGAAAGCATTTAAACTAGATTCATTTAATAAAGGTATGGATTCCTACAACATACACAAATAATTTATAATTAAAACATTTAACTTTAAGGTTTAATTTCAATATACATTAGTTTAAATTGTATTTACATCAGTATCTTAATTCATTTTAACATTTAAAATAATTAATTTATATTCCATTAATGATGATAATAATATAAGTTAATTTACCATAATTTAAAGATTTGGATATCATGGTTGGTCTTATGAGAAATGAGGGTTCATCGTTAATAAATACATTAGTCAAACCAAACCAAACCCTAAAAGACTATCAAGATTTTGTGGCATTGATTGACACAATTTATCATAATTTTGATATAAAACGTGTCGAAGAGTTTTATTTGAAACAATCCATTGACGCAAACAATTCCAATGCTATCCTATGGGCTGAATATGACATGTTTGGTGACGTACGCATCTCATGTCCGACCTATAGGTTCGCCAAAGCGTACGCCCAGTTGGGAGGCGCGGGTGGTGTGTATTTCTATGAGCAGACATATCAACGCAAATCATTTTTAGATGAAAAAGTCTATGGAGTGACACATCAGGCGGACGTCGACTATGTATTCGGTGCACCGCTTTTGTATCCGACAATCACTGACACAACAATTGATACACAATTCAGTCGACAAGTCATGAAATTGTGGACAGATTTCGCTAAATATGGGTTAGATTTTTATAACATTAAATATTTTTATTATTTTTTGTCTAATTTTGTTTATCAATAGCCGACCGAACCCTAAATGGCCTAAATTTATCGATAATACAAATAAAGATTTAATGCCAAAAGTGGTTGAATTAAATCCAAACAAATTATTACAATTGTTGGACAATCCGTTTGCGAAAACATGCGACGGATTATGGAATGAATATTATAATTGATTAATAAATATTAATGAAATTAATAAAAATTGATTAAATATAATATTAATTAAAATTATTATAATTCTGTTAATCATATTTAAATTCATTTACAAATAACATTAATTTTAAATCATTAATATAAATGTAATATTATTTAATGTTATGTTTACTCTTATTATGTCTTTTTAAATCACTTGTTGTAACAAACCGTTGATTACAGTTATTATAAATACATTTATGCCTTTTTATATTCAAATGTCTTTTAATATGTGTATTGAAATTACATTCGTGAGTAAAACCTTTATTACAATTATTGAAATGACAAACAAATGGTTTTTCTCCCGAATGTATGCGTTTGTGAAGAATTAGATTTTGTTTTGTTGTGAAATGTTTGTCACATTTTTCTTCATTACATTTATATCTCTTCTCATTTAAATGAACACAATTTTTATGTTGAGATAACTTTAACTTTTGAGTAAAACTTTTGTGGCATTTATTTATATCGCAAACAAATCTTTTAGTTAAATGAACGCTATTTTTGTGATGATTTAATCCGGCGAATGAATTATAACGTTTCGTACAATTATTATAATTACATTTAAATTGTTTTAATTCTGAATGAATTAATTCATGTGATGTTAGGTTCCATTTATTTTGTGTCTTGAATTGACATTTAGGCCAAAAACAGTCAAATAATCATCAGATTTAGTAATGATTTGTTTGGATTTAATTCAACCACTTTTGGCATTAAATCTTTATTTGTATTATCGATAAATTTAGGCCATTTAGGGTTCGGTCGGCTATTGATAAACAAAATTAGACAAAAAATAATAAA